GTCGACAAGGTTCAGTCAATAAATGAAAATGCCCCCAAACACCCCGATGATGGCTTTGTTGAATGTCTATCTTAACTAGAGGGTTAACTCCAATCACTTCAAATGCCCCCAAACACCCTGATGATGGTTATGTTGAATATCTATCTCAACCGGAAGGGTTCACAAATATTTAAAATGCAACTCAAAAACACAAAATCCAAAAATTCCAGAAATCCCGAAATCCAAATGTTTAAAATTGAAATCAAACCATCAACACTTAAAGCAAAATTCATCCAACCTCCGCAATAGTTTGTCGAGGTTGATAAAATGAAATTTACTGCAGCTCACATAGAGCTAATGCCTAGTCGAAAATATCACTAGGATCTATTCTCAAATAATCTCCTACCGTTAAGGATGTGGTACCTGTCCTCTAACCGATAGTTTTTGCCGCCAAATGGGGCCGCAAGATAAACGGTTATGACCCGGGGCCCTCTGAACCGAGTGATTTGCCCGCCAAATTGCACCACGAAATATCAGTTATGGCCAGAGCCAATACGCTCCTTAGTGGCATCAAATCCTTAAGATATAAATCAATAGAATATGATCGATAGGGCACAAAGTCCTCTGTTAGCTAAGGTGGATTCAAATTTGTCCCCTTAGACAAATACCCATCCCACATCTACAATATACCCTTGGATGAAAGAACTCGTGGCTTCCGATAAGGATCCTTCTGTCAGGTTGGGTCAACTACCTCCTCTAAGTAGACCAGGGACCACGATGGCCTGGGAAGACGGAACCATGGGATCTTGATCGGGTCCATCATCCATTCCCTCACCCTCCGCTTTAAGTATAAGATGGTGAAATTTTCATTTTAAATATCAAATCTTCTAACTTTCCAAATTTCCAAATCCAAACTCAATTTTACTACTATATGCCAGATAACACGTATCTCTACGTATCTGATTGATGACTAGCCTTAATCGAAAGTTCTCTCTTGTTATTAGAAGGGGTAATTAACTATAGGGGCGTGCGCCTGTAGAAAACCAGAACTCATATCATAAAGTCCTCGCAAAATGAGGGAGAAATCTCTAGGTAGTGTTTTATCTACAACCTCATCTGCCTTCTAAAATTTACCCCGGAACATATTTCGTTAAAACTCCCTCCCGAAAGAAAAGCAATAGCGGGCGGAGGCCGGGGCCGAATTTTCGGAGCCCACAGTTTTCCTTTTTGTTTCTTACTTTCTACAGACCTAAACTTTTAGACCAATTGATATGTTGGTGGATTAAAATTTTATGATGAATGGGGTTGACTATTTTTTCAGCTGTAGGGAAATGAAAATTAGCTACTGAATATGATTTGGAATTCAAAAAGTTTAGGAAAATCACACTTCCAATGTTGGCAAAGAGATGAAGAGGGGATGATAATGATGATGATGATTTCATAATTTGGTTGAGACTATAGCATATAGTTTGATGTGTGGGGCTTAGGATGGGATGATGGTTTAGCTATGATGAGTTTAGGATGCTTTGAGATGATGGGAGGAATAAAGAGTTGTTAAGTGGTGATCAGGTGTGTAAAGGTTCAAGTTCAAGATTATTACAACATCCTTCATCAATGCCTATAAGCATTACATGAGAGAAAACAAAAATTAAAATGGGAAACTAAGAGTTGGTCGCTTCAAGTTCAAGATTAAGAGGGTCAAATTCTTTTATGTTCATGCATCCATTAAGACTTTAAAAGACACCTCATAACTCTCCATTCATGCATCTAAGAAGCTAAGTTATCACCAAAACACAGTCATTACAGAGTAGCTATCTATACGCATCTTTACGATATAACAATAATTAGTAGGAACGGAGCTTTTTACTTGGTCATATTTACTTAGTTAACTTTATTTAGCACGCATGCATGAGCATATTTGCATGGCTGCTAAATATTTCACTTAGCTATTATATCATTTTATTCACCAAATTATATCAATAAAATAAAAAATAGAAAAACGTCAAAATGATGGCTACATTATTTATACACGGTCATTTTAGTTCCAAACTATACATACATTCAATTTAATCTCTTAACTCAAATATAATTGAAGATAACCCACTTTTGGTTGGATCAGATTTGAAAGATAATGAATTAATTTAGATTAGATTAAAAAGTAAAATAACTAAGTTGAACACAATAGCTGGTCTGAAACTAGAACGGCCGCTCATACGTAGTCTAGGATCTATTTTGATACTTCTTCTCAAATAAAAAGACAACAATACAAAATAAAAATGGTTAATTACTATTACACCTAAATAACAGCAATAGTTCAATAAAGATTGCAATTACAAACAAATAATCTAGCAAGTTATGATCAATTTTGACCACTGGCATTATTATGGACGCATCATTGAAATATCAAAAAGATAATTCATTTAGAAAAACAAAAAACTCTCATTGTGCCAATCATCTTAACAAAGCCTTTAATAAAATAATAATAATAATAATAAAAGATAATTCATTTAGAAAAACAAAAAACTCTCATTGTGCCAATCATCTTAACAAAGCCTTTAATAAACATAAAATAATAATAATAAACATAATTTGATGGAATGCACAAATGTATCCCAATTTATTTCGACATAAAATGAAGTAGCTGATTCCTTATATATAATTATATAGTTATATCATAATTACAGCCTGAGAGCTCCAATAAAAACTTGTTGCTTCTCAGATATGCACTAAGCAAATGAAAGATACAGTTTATCACCTCAAATTCATGCCTATCTTAATAGTACCAAACTCCAACTCAAATTTGAGAGTAACAAATTTTTAATCATTAGAAAGAATTTGGTAAGTGTCACGATCATAAAAGTTGTCTGGAGGGATAGAGGTACTGAGGAGATACAAAAACATTTATATTCAGTATAAAGTTATTTACCATCTACCACTTCTCACACCCATCTAACATAATTGAGAATTAGAAAGATTCAAAACGAAAGCAGACCGAACAAAAAATTTAAGATTAACTCCAAGTACGGAATCCCAAATAATCAAAATATGCAGCTCACGTAACTTTTCTCCATCAACAACTAGAATGAAATAAAGTCTGCTTATCTTACTGATAAAGCCTAGTGCCACCGATTATGGCAGTGAACTAGAAGATAACACAAATTTAGATAAAATAACTAAATCTCAATTAGTTAAATTTACTTCTCTAAACCTCTCTATTACCAAGCAAAAATAATGAATCTCTACAAATGTGCTCCAATTGAATTAATTAGCCAACTTTGGATGGTTTTAAAAAATTGCTGGGCTAGTATATTTTCAAGATTAATCGCCAGTAAGAACTAACTATAGGCAAAATACTAGCCACTTATATCTGATGAAAATAGATGGGCTAAAGCAAACAATAGATAAAATAGATGCGCTAAAACAAAACAGTAGCGCGCGACTTCGATTAATAATACACTTTAAAGATCTTTCTTGAGAAGCTCAACCCTAAAAGAGAATCCTTAATAAAAAGTGTAATCATTGACAAAAAGATGGGTAAGCTGCATAACTATATATATAAAGGTATTCTGATATATTTTGTATTAAAATGAGACTAATTTTATCATACATATCTTTAATTTCACTAATATTTTCACTAAAATTAAAAGATGAATACAACTAAATTATTTAAAATGCAAAATAATAATATAATTAAATTATTTGTCTGATAATTCTAATGTGTGTGTGTGTGTGTGTATATATATATACACAAAAGGGTATCCTTACATATTTTATATCAAGATGAGGCTAATTTTACCATAAATAACGTTAATTTCAGTAAGACTAACACTAAAATAAAAAGATAAATACAATTAAAGTGTTGAACATACAAAATAATAATACAACTAAATTATTTGTCCATTACTTCTATTGTATTGTTAGATAGTTTAGTTGCATTTGTCTTTTTTAATTTAGTTGTATTATTTATTCTTTAACAATATTGTAGGATAACATGGCGTGTGAAATTAAAGATACATAAAGCAATGTTTAAAATTGCGTATTCGGGTATTGAGGCGTTTTTCATTCGTGAGTCGATGCGTAAGCCTCAAGGCGATTTAAGGCGTAAGCCTCAAAATCAAAAGATTTCGTAAATATAAAATGATAAATTTTTTATATGCTAATGAGTGAATAATATAAAACATAAAAAAACATAAGATATGAAGTGAAATCAAAATATCCCAATAATAAGACAACATGAAATATAGTTCAACTCAAAATTCTATCTTTTCAAATCCTAGTATTCTTTTCATTAACCTATAATTCGAATTTCCAAAAATAAATAGCAATGACATATCACAAAAGAACTCATAAGTCATCAGCACTATCATCACTAAGGGGTTCTTCATTTGAATCATCATTATGATGAACTGCTCTCCCCCTTCCTCCTCTCCTATAGAGTCCAATGTCGGGCATTTACTTCAAGATTTATGTAAGTTTTAATATATATAGCGTGAGGCGTAAGCCTCATGCCAGTGAGGCGAGGCGAGCCTCAAGGTGGGCCTCAACCAAGTTGAGGCGCAAGCCTCATAAAAAAACTCGAGGCATAAGCATTGAGGCTTTTTTTACTGGAATTGCGCAAATGCGGGCCTCAAGGCGAGCCTCATATTGCGCAATTCTAAACCATGACATAAAGTAAAATTAACTCCATCTTAATATAAAAATATTAGAATATCCTGATTTTTTTTTCAAATTAAGCCCCTATGTTTTCTTTGAAAATCAAAACTACAGTAAGACTGAAACTTTTCATCAAAAAAAAAAAAAAAAAAAAAAAAAAAAAAAAAAAAAGTAAGACTGAAACTAGCAAGTTCTCTTATCATTCAACAAAATACAAAAATATTGACCAGAAATGCAATCTTAAATTTGACCAAACAATTTCTTCGAAAATTCAGATTATAAAAAAGGCCTCAAGATAAAAATCCCAATTTAATCCTAGGTATAACACATAAGTTAACTTTACCTCTTGTGAATTAAAACAGGGAATATTGCCGAAAAGTGTTTTTTTTTTATTGTAAAAATGACATGGCTACTTATAATATCCTTAATTTAGAAATAAGTATTAGGTCACTATTACTGTCAAGTGTAGACATGCAAATAAAACTGCATAGATCAACCTTCCCAAAATCATGCATAGCCGGAGCATCTCATATTGACTGCGAAAGAAACTTTGCTGAGAATATTAGAAAAAATTTTAGTTACAAGTATATAGGAATCATTTGCTGCTTGGTGGATCAGGAGGACCTCTTGAGATGGGAAAAGCATAAGAAGTTGGTTTGGCTTTGGCAATGTCCACAAATATAACCCTCCCATTCAACACCTGCTTGCAATTTCTCAAAATTTAGTTCATGAAGTGGATAGCAACCTAATTGATTTAGTTTCGCTCGTTTGATTTCTCACCTTTCCATTCATCCGCTCCAGAGCATTCTGGGCATCATCTTCAGATGCAAATGTTACAAATCCAAACCCCTTTGGTCTGTCGGAGACTCTATCCATAACTATTTTTGCTGCGAATTGTAGAAATAAACCAAAGTAGATATGTAACAAAGTGAATTTCACGAGTCGAGTTTATGACATCATAAAAAATTTGTTTTAATTTTGTTAGTCTCTACACCTGAATTTTAGAAAGATATACTATTAATGTTCTTATTGTTAGATGTTTAGTAGTGGGCAAAAGGGTCACAGAAAATGGCCTCAAATATTGCACAGTAATTTGGTGATTTTTGCTTTATGAGGAAAAATAAATCAATTAATTTTACCTTCAACCACTTGGCCAAATTTTGAGAAGGCCTCAGTTAGCGTATCCTCGGACGTGTAGAATGAGAGCCCTGAAATCATGAGGAAAGGTAGGTGAAGGATGCAATGGCTCTAAACCAGTTGAAATAGTCTCACTCTCACTAATCCTCTCAGTAATGATAGAAGTTAGACGCAAAAGTAATTGTCAGTCAAACTGAGGTTAATTTCACATTATTAACTAATCGTTCATTTAGGGCAGCTGCAACTCTCAGGAATAGCAGTAGTAGGGTTTCTTTGACGAAAAATAGGTTTTTTTAAAAAAGCTATTGAGAGTATTATAAACTCTTTTTTAAAAAGAATGGATATAGCTTGCTCACTCACAACAAACAAACTCTAGAATAACTGATATTGTAAAAATTACGATTCCTCACAAAAAATTCAAAAATATAACAAGAAAGTTATAGCAAAATAAAATTAGCAGTATTTCAGAAAAAAAAAAAAAAAAAAAAAAAAATTAGCAGTAAAAAAAAAAAAAAAAAAAAAAAAAAGACTCCGAAAACCTACTCCAAACAAGCCCCAAGTGAAGAGCAATACCTCTAGAGCCTACATTTCTTATATGAAAAGCAAAGCTACTTCAAATGCCCCCCAACACACTAAAGCGTATATGGCATTTGCAACTGGTTCTTTGTCATATATTTGACACAATTAAAAAAAGATAACATAAACAATACACTATTTTATCTTGGGATTGTTGGGTGTGAGTAAAAGTAGGCTTGAGAAGCAATTTATTTATATGTAACACGAAGCTTGCCAGAGTGTTGCACATATGTGACACCTATCACGGTACTAAGCATTAAATTAAATAGAAGGATGGCAAAATCAAGCAAGAAAGATGAAAACCAAGCTAAGGAAGTTATTCCATAGTCTTTCTTTCTTGAATGAAATTTTGGATTATGTAGCACTAATGATAAAAAGATCTATAAGCTGAAGATTAAATCATCATAATCTGCATCATCATTGGTTGTGTCCTAGTGATTTGAGAGCAAGAATTAGGGGTGTCAATTTGAGTTAACAGACTGAGTTCAAGGCTAACCCGAATTTCACCTGACTCAAGACCCAAAACTAACAAATTTATTATTTTTAATTAGAATGCATGATCTAAACCTGACCTGACACAAATCAAGTTCATGCGAACTTGACAGGTGTGGCCCATTTATTATATGGGCCATACAATTTGTTTATATGGGCCATACAATTTGTTTGTGTCAACACAACTGAGTTAATCCGAATTTAACCCAATTAGGCAAAGGAATGTTAACTAGTCAAAAAGACTATATTGTAGACCCGAAAAATAAACAAATAATCATCTTGTTGATTTCAAGTTTTGATCTCAATTTGAAGCCAACATGAATATTAAAAAGGAAAACATTTTAGACCCTAAGATGACCCGTATCTAACTCGTGTCAATCTAAACCCGGATTTTTTTTATTGGTTTTGTGAAAGATTGTGAGGTTGAATAATATATTGACACCTCTACAAAGAACCTTTTATCCAATGTGTTATAGATATCAAATAGTACAAAGAGATACTAATTTTGACAACTATATCATCGGTTAATATTAATAACAAATCTATATTATTGACAACAATAATATCAACACTTCAATGATGGATCATATTCTCCATTTGGAGTAAGTTCAGAATAATTCTTTCAAACCTTCACCTAAGGAATATGGAAAACCAAGGTTTAAATTACACAATTGGGTATTAATGTGTTTTTCATTTGTGAGGTGAGGCATAAGCCAAGGCATTTTGAGGCTTATGCCTCAAAATTCAAAATTTATGTAAAGTGAAAATAAAGTTTGAAACTATTTTTTTATATAATACTCAAATAATATATTAAAGAATGATATATTAGTTTATATTGAACTATGAAGTAACAAATTGGCATATATTTTAAAAGAAAAATTGCACAAGCCGTAAAGTAACAAGTAATAAATTGCATGAAATATAATTGAAATTCAAATATTACAAAAGCAAAATAATATAAAATATAGGACTTGCATTGAAGTATCATATAACATCAAGTTCAATTTCAAATTTCTTTTTTCTCAGTTCCTTACACATCCATATTTATTTCCTAAAGAAAGCTAAAATAAATGGCAATAACTAAGAAATCATCTACATTGTCATCACTGAGGGGGTCTTTATTTGAGTCGTTATCATAACAAATTGGTACCTCCCATGCCTCAGCGGAGACTACAATGGTAGTGGTTGCAATGAAGGCAGCGGGCTGAAGGTCAAAGCAATTGAGAGAAAGTTGGTGCGGCTTCAGGGATCATGAAGGCGTAATTTATTCGGGGTTTTATTTTAAAATTTAGGTAAGTTTTAATATAAAAATCATAACAAATTGGTACCTCCCATGCCTCATACTATAGAGTTCAATGCTACTCAATCTGCTTTTTTTTTTCATTTATTTCAATTATCTTTCTCTTTTAAAAAAGTAAGTCATTAACATAAAGATGAGATTAATACTCCAAATTTTTTAGAAGACGAGGTGATAGTGGACTGCAGCTTTCAAGTGATCCTCAGCGGAGACTACAATGGTAGTGGTTGCAATGAAGGCAGCGGGTTGAAGGTCAAAGCAATTGAGAGAAAGTTAGTGCGGCTTCAGGGTTCATGAAGGCGTAATTTATTCGGGGTTTTATTTTAAAATTTAGGTAAGTTTTAATATAAAAAAATATATAAATAGGGTGAGATGTATGCTTCACACCAGCGAGGCGAGGCCCGCTTCAAGACGAGCCTTTAGCCAAGTTGAGGTGCAAGTCTCATCAAAAATATCGAGACGTAAACCTCGAAGCTTTTTTCACTAGAATTGTGCTGGGCAGGTGATGGAGACATCAGATCATAGAAAGTATATCAAAGATGTGGCTGACGATTTACGGCCACGATCGCGCCGATCTATTTTTTATTCATCATATGTATTTGTTTTATTTATTTGCATTATGTATTTATTTTATTAGCATTTTTCGTTTTACCCTTAAGGTCTTGTCATATGTAAGCCCTAGAGGCAACATTGTTTATAAGTTTCCTTTCATTGTATGAGGCTATTTATAAGCCCTTTTTGTTTCTTTTCAAGTTAATAAAGAATTATAATGAAAATTTCTGCAACCTTGTGTTTTTGTGAGAGCTTGAGAATTTTGGAAAGAAATTCCTAGGAGAGGGAAACAGATCACCCACCAACCTTGGAAGTGTCCGGGGTCGTGGCTATTTTCTCCCTATTTTTTCTTCTCTTCCTCCCTCCCTTCCCCTCCATCACCGGCCAAGGAGGCCCTCCATTCTCTCTTGGCCAAACCACCTTCCCATCCCATCAAATAGCCGGCCAACCTGAACTCTACCTCCCTAACTCTCGGTCAACCCCACCTCCACACCACCACATACCCAAACCCTCACCTAGCCTAGCTGCTAGCCATAGACCTTCCCTCCTTGCCGCCCACATTCAAAACCCCCTCTTTACTACTTTCCTTTTTCCTCCCAATCCATTTTGGAAAGTCTTAAAATTCATATTTTCAATTAATTTGAGATTTGAATTATTTCCTAAAATAGAACTTTATTTTAGGAAAGTTTCTAAATCAAATCCAAATTAATTTTGAATTAGATTGGAATTAAATCCTCTTTCTTAATTTGAGTTTCCCATTTAAGCAAGTATTAAATCCCTTTCCCTAAACCCCCCATCCCCTTCTCTATGCCCACCTTCCTTGTCCCCAACACTTAATTGCTTTCCAAAATTAAGCCTCTCTCTCTCTCTCTCTCTCTCTCTCTCTCTCTCTCTCTCTCTCTCTCTCTCTCTCTAATCCTCCATAAAATTCTTCCAACTTTAGGGGATTAATTAGGGAAATGATTACCTAATTTTCCTCCATCCTCTACCCTTTAAAATCTCAGCTATATTTCCCCATCTCCCTCTCTAACCTCGCCAACCTTCCCCTAACCCTAACACCTCTAAAATCTGAACCTAAACTTTCCCAAAGCCCCTACCTTGTTCGGCAACCCACTCACCCCTTCTTCTACTTGGATTCCTTGGAGAAACTTCTTTCTATCAAGGAAAATCCTCAAGGACAACAAAGGGCGTCTTCCACAATACTTCAACACTACGTATCCTATGCATGGTCGATCATGAACTCAACTCCGTCTTCGTCTACAACGAACAAGGCTTCGTTGACATCCTCCGATCACCTTTCTTCGACGTCAATCTGGAGGTAGATAATTCCGTCGAGGAATACTTGGAGCGTATCATATTCACTCTTTCAAAAGCCATTGAAGAACAGCTTTCCAATGTTCAGTGGCAAATCATTGCCACGCTATGACAAGGGAGAACTCTTTCCCCCTCTTCAATTTCCTTCCTAATCTTCTTCGATTGTAGGTTGTGTATCAAGCATAAGGAATCATACAAAGCTATCTGCCAAAGCTTACTAAACGTAGGGAATGAGTGATGGACTTATATGCTTATAATCCATTGTTAATCTAGGGATGATATTGAAAATCTTCTATATTTGCTTATGTTGAAGTTTCTAATTATTTTGTGATCCTAATTATTATTGTGTGACTTGGCCTAAACTAAGGCACCCCTTTCTTGTTTTCCATTTTCGTTAAATGGCTAACGTTTTAATTCTTATTGCTCATACTTAAAAGCATGCAAATTCTTATATCAATCATTTAAGCATTCATAATTCTACATCAGCAGACCTTAAAGCGAGCCTCAAATTATGCAATTTTAAACAATATGGAAAACATCAAACCTTTGCTTGAACTTCGAGCCTCCTCCAAGAAAACTTTCAAACATTCATCAATAACTTCAATCCTCAAAATCCTAAATTATCTTATAAGATATTTTCTTAAGTTAAGTTAGAAATTTTATTTCAAAATTGGACTAGATAAAATCAAAAAATAGAAAAGAGCTCTAGAATGACGACAAGATTTCGGTTAGGCATAATAGTGACCGCAGGAGGAACCATTGATAAATATACTACCCTAAAATCATTTTTAGGTTTACCACTTCAATGTTCAACTTGGATTGGCTTTGTTATACATAGTC